CCACTCAGGAACACCCCACAGGTTTCTCCCAAGGACCTTGCTTTGAGAACCCCGACTCGACCTTATCTGTGTTTATTTTAAAACACAAAGCATTTTATACACTTGCCTTACATTTTTCATTGCTCATATCTTTCTCTTATGCCTGAGTCCATGCCTCATGGTGTTAGGTTTTTGGAAATAATATTTATTATTTTGGAACTTGTTGAAGGCATTTCTTCTGTGCTGACTCCTAAGCTTTTATTTTATTGATAGCTCATTCTTCCTTCTCCCATGAATCTCTTTGTACCACACACTTCATTAAGGGAAACTGCGTCCAAGTTACTCTTTTTCTTCTCTCTCACGGCCCTTAACTATCAAGGACTGTATTGTATGTGTCATGTCACACAATTCTGACCACAAACCCTTGAGATAGACATATTATGCTGGCATTGACCGTGTGGCGGAATGAACTAAGTAATTTATGCAAGCCAAAATCAGTGAAAACTCAGACAGCTCAAAGACATCGGGTATATATTTGAAAACGTAAACATGTTGTCACACTGTTTCCTAGAACTTGATATTGATATTAACATGTTAGCATATAGATTTGTGAGGTTTAAAAACTATCTAATCTTTGTCCTTGAGAATGGTCAGTAGTGCTTTCAAGATGACTCTGTAAGTAATGAGCAATGAAAATTTGCATTGAACTAGTGTACTTTTAGATTCAAATTTTATCACATAGTACCCAACAAAATGATTTAACAACAACATATCTGTTTATCTCTCAATTTTTCCTAAGGGAATGCAAATTTGATGAAATATAATGTGGTGGTTCCAACATCTTTCTTTCGTTCAATTGCAATGGAGTCTGAGTTCAAAGACAACTATCGACATCCTAAAGTGGACAGGGAAACCCACAAGACCCCAGCCCTACACAAAGAACTATGAGATAACTAAGGAATTACGAGTTCAAGAGAAATAGTCTTCCCCAACTAAGAGTACACCAGTTGGATACTATACCAAATGGTTATCCCAGAAAACCTGCATGCAAGTTACATACAGGTTAAGCAGGTTGTATTTATGTTTTCATGAATACATCTATCTATCTGTCTGTCTGCCTGCCTATCTGTCTGCCTGCCTGCCTGTCCATCTGTCTACATGTATATATATAACAACAATAATGAAAACAGAGGCTATGAATTTGAAATAGAGAAAGGAGGAGTATATGGAAAGGCTTGGAGGGAGGAAAGGAAAAGGAGAATGATATAATTATATTATAAACCCAGTAAATAAAAGAATTAATGAAAAGTATGGTTTTAAATTTTTATTTATGTTAATAAGTTTATACTAAAGCAGGCTCAAAGAGAACATATAATCTTGCCTTTATTGTGTCTGTTATTATTGCATGATCAAGAAGGTAATTATTTCTAAAATATTCTGAAATACATCTTGTTGCTTTTATCTATAACATAATAGTACATTGTTAGGAAATAAATCAATTTGGCAATGGTCGCGAGACAGCAGGAACTGACCTACTCTGGTGATGGGATGGCCAGACACCCTGATAATTGTGCCATAAACCCCATCCAAGGACTGAGGAATCTGAAGGCAGACATCCACGGCTGGGCCCCTGCTGGAGCACTGGGAGTCTAATTAGTGAGAAAGAAGAGGGTTTATATGAGCGAGAATTGTTGAAGCCAAGGTTGGATAAAGCACCGGGACAAATAACCAAATGAATGGAAGCACAGGATCTATGAACCAAAGGCTGAGGGGCCCCCAACTGGATCAGGCCCCCTGAATGCGTGAGACAGTCATTTGGCTTGATTTGTTTGGGAGGCAGCTGTGCATTGGTGCTGGGTCCTAGGCTCGTTGCATGAGTTGGCTGTTTGAATCGTGGGACTTATGCAGGGACACTTGGCTCGGTCTGGGAGGAGGGAATGGACCTGCCTGGACTGAGTCTACCAGGTCAACCCCGGTCCTCGGGGGAGACCTTGATCTGGAGGAGGTGGAAATGGGGGATGGGCTGGGGGGAGGGGGGGCGAGAGGGGGAGAACAGGGGAATCTGTGGCTATTATGTTGAACTGAATGGTGTTGTAAAATAATAATAATAATAAAAAAATAAAAAAAGAAGATAATTATTTCTAAAATATTCTGAAATACATCTTGTTGCTTTTATCTATAACATAATAGTACATTGTTAGGAAATAAATCAATTTGGCAAGGAAAATGAAAAGGAGTGTAATCTGATTCTGTTCATAAAGAAGGCAACTTTAAAAATCAAAGCAACATTTTAAAAGAGGTTTAAAAGTGTTTAATTATTTCCATTTTGAGGCCAAGAATCAAAATTAGGAACATGTGTCCAAGAACTTAGCAAAGACTCATTACCTTGTGAAAAATATGTGCACGTATACATCCAATTCTAGCTAACTGAATTATATACATGCTAGAGTTGAAAGAAGTCATTTCTACTAAAGTAAAACATTTTTATTCTTTTCATTTATCATTGAATTACATGTTTAGCTTATTGAGGTAAACATTAGAATTTTTTATTTCTGGATTTTGACTGGACAGCATTAGTACTATAAAGCATTTAAATAAAAATTAAAATATTCTAGTCTCTTCACATTGGTTAAAAAGAGTAAAATTGGCCATGCAGCAATGGCACACACCTTTAATCCCAGCAGTCGGGAAACAGAGTCAGGCAGATCTCTGTGAGTTTGAGGCCAGCCTGGTCTACAGAGCAATATCCAGGACAGGCACCAAAACTACACTGAGAAACTCTGTATCAAAAAAAAAAAAAAAAGAGTATCAAGATTCACTAATTTTTTCACCTCCTACCAGTAAAATAAAACATACACAATTTTAGTGTGATGATTTGACTACAGAATACATGCTCATGTTCCAAGTAATAGTCTGTCAGTTGTCTGGCTCCCAGGACATCCTTCCAAGGAATTATCCTTTCTTTTTGTTTGTTTGGGTTTTTTGTTTGTTTGTTTGTTTGTTTTGTTTTGTTTTTGTTTTAAAGTTTTTACAGCTCTCTTCTTCCTTTTGTTGAAAATAGGTTTATATAATATATTCTGATCAAGGTTTCCCCTCTCTTTCATTTTTCCCAGATGCTCCCCACCTCCCCATCCACCCAACACCATGACTTTTCTTTTTTTTTTCTCTCTTTATGAAACCAAGAAACAACAATAACAACAAACACAATAAAAAAAACTCAAGAAACACCTAAAACAAGATCCATTAAAAACTCAAAACTGAAAACTGTAATATACAAGCAAATGAACAATAAGACAAAAAAAAAATGCCTAAACAAATCATTGATGTCCTTTGGCATTGGCTATCTACTAAGGAGTGTGGGGCCTACCCTTCATTGTGGTTAAAATACCCAGTGAGACTTCACAAGAAAGAACTAATGTTTGCAAGCTTGTGTCAATTGGAGAAAGCTATTTAGTTAGGGATTGGAGCCAGTATCCCCATCCCCATTTCAGCACTGGGAGCCCAGCTGGCTTGAATCTGTTCAGGCCCTGTGCATATTGCCATGGTCTTTGTGAGTTTAAGTGTGAATTCGTCCTGTTGCATCTGGAGGACACTAGTTGCTTGGAATCATCCATCCTTCTGGTTCTTTCAGTCTTCCAACCTCCTCTTCTGCATAGCTTCCTGATCCCTGAGAGTAGGGTTTTGATGAAGACATCCTATTTAGAACTGAGTCACCCCAAATCCTTTGTCCTGGAACACTAACATGTACAATAGTTGAGTCAAGGCAAAGGGAAAAGTTGTACAATGTCTGTTTCTTATAGAGCAGCTGCTATGAGTCTTGGCATGTAGCATAATAGCAAAGCAATATGATCAAGACAAGCCCCAGAGAAACTGCTGGTGTCTGAAGATTCCAGCTGTTATAACACCAGACTCTGGATTATACAGTATCTCCTGTCCCCAGAAAGATTCTGTACTTTAAGATGTAAGTTCTTGTTTTCTCTTATGTTGGCAGTTGTACTCTAATTGGATACTATACTCATGTTAATTTTTCTTGAATATTCAAGAAAATATAATATCAAAGGGCAATAAATGGGTATTAAATACTGACTCTTTCTTGGTGGCAGCTTATCAGGAAGACCTGTGTGCTACATTCCCCGGAGTTCCGCTCTTTCTTACATATTTAAAATCCTCACATTATTAAATCCAAAAGCATGTACTCTAAAAATTCAGAGCAAAGCTGTCTTCCAAACAATGTAACAACTTCTTGACTAAAATATCAAAAACATTTAGGATTGAGTATTTTGAACATATTTCACATGGTTAGTACACATTGCAAAGTTTTAAGCAAAATTGTTTCGGTCTAAAAGGTGATGTAAAACTTACACTTGGCCTTCTTGATGATTCTAATTTTTTTTTGAGAGATCGAGATGGATGGGGCTGCAGATTTAACCTAGGACCTGGTGGATTCAATGCACCTCTACTGAGTGAGTCATGATACTTATAATAGTTTAATCCTTACTTTTATCACAAGACAGCATTTACCAAGATATTAAGCCAAACACATACCTTGGTGATGTGCTGTGTGCTGTCAATTGCTAAATATAAAAATTGCTTCTTGTATCTTAGAAGGAATCATTTCAAAGTAAAGATATGAGATGTTTATCTCATATCTCACATGCCTTGGAAATTGTTCAATGTCTAGATAATCTACAAATTAGTGTAGCAGAAATAATATTGTTGTCTTCTCTTAGAATCATTTAAAATATTTCTACATTTCTAAGACTTTATTATTAGAATATAGTGCATATAATCATATGAAAACACATAATTCATAATACTTAAAGATGCGTTCAAAGATAATATTTCCCCTCAGTAGATGTGAAGCTGCCCACCCAACATACACACACACACATACTTCTGCTCCTTGTCTCAACGTGGAATCTTCTCCCTGGTTAGAATTTTGGCTCCATTAAATTGTTCTCTCACAATGGATAGATGTTAATCTGTAAAACAGAGTCTTCTTTGGCTAGTCCATTTCATACTGAAAAGAGATCAAGGTTATATCATTTAAGTCAATATTTTGATTCTATATTTGGTGCCTTATTAATCCATTTCTCTTAAATCTCCTACAAAATTCTGCTACCCAAGAAACACAGTATATTTTGCTTCATTATATGTTCTTTCTGTAGTTCATAAAAAAAGCCCATGACTTTGAATTCCATAGTGATTATAAAATTGAATTATTAGAGTCTAAGTTTTATATGGTGTGTACATATTGCATGCATATTTCTAATAGATGAAATATACACACATTATAATCCATAATTCTAATGCATATTATATGAGATAGAATGCTAACAAAGTACTATGAATGGTTCCTACAGGAAACATTGAATCTCTTTACAAATTCACAGTTATGCTTTTTAAAATAACCCTATTTAGAAGCCTATTTTAAGGGCATTCATATTTTCAAGCACTAAATGTAAAATATACATTAACAGTGCTCTGCAGGCTGTTTATAGATTAGAATTAAAATCATATATGAGTATGTATGAATTATTTATTATAATGCTGAAGAAAAAAATGTTGATACTTGAGTTTACAACTCTTATTCATCGGTCACAATGTAAGTCCTAAATAATGATACAGTTTGCAAAAATACCCATTTAATTCAATAGACTGAATTGCAAATAATCCAGCTCCGTGAATTTATGTGACATAATGTATATGAAGAAAATATTATTATTTTGAAAACTGACAGAAAGCTTTAAAAATTCCAACATCATTACATTCCCTCATTCTATACTACTATTTATTACATAATTTATGTTGACTATCATATATAAATGATTGTTAATAGTAAGCATATATATATATATATATCAATTTATGTTTACTGAATGTACAATCACCTTCATTTATTAATAATGGAGAAGCTTATGTTTTCCTTTATAAAACAAGTCAATGCAAGAATGTCACATTTCATACTCACATGCAATATAATAACCAAGTGATAACTAGCTCTTAAATAGCATTTTAAGAGTGACTTGCATCTTCCAAAACCATGCAATATACTTTACCTATACACAGAGAAAAACAGTTTCTTTTACCATGAAAGTCAACTTAAATTATAGGGTTCCATAAATAACTTTTGCTTAGACAATATTTTACTGGTCCCTAAATTTTTCTGTGAACACACTCCAGTCAGAGAGTAACTACTAAATACATTCTAAAATATATTGTAACAACTAGGAAAATAAAAGTAAATGAAAATTTGTATGATTTCTTTAAATAAACTAATATGCAGTTACATTTTACAGTCATTTTATGTATAAAGTTTATCACCTCAATGCATATCTGATGTAATTTACTGAATTTCTCTTTCAATAATTCTGGTCCAGCATAGTTGAAAACTAAGAGTCAAGAGCAAGTCACAAGTATCTTACTTAATGATTTTCAATGCAGGGTTTTACACATGGAGTCAAGCTGACAAATATAAAGCAATGCCACCTACAATCCTAACAACAATTAGAAAGGACCGAGGTAAGATGTGCCCTACACAGCTCATTTAATCATAGCTCCTAAGTTCCTTAATTGAATTTCCATGTTGGATATAATTACTTGTTTCGCATGTAGGAGCATCAAGAAAAAATGTTTCATAATACTTAACCCATGCTTAATTTTATGCTAAGCTGAAAACACAGCCTCTGGTAGTTAATTTCTAACACAGATTTAAAGTATTGCGGTAGTTGTGTAAAAATTCATCATCAGTACTGTAGATGTGGCTCAGCCAGCTAGTTCAGTGTTTCTCTGGAAGCTGTGGGCCTTGGCTTCAGTCCCCTACCATGAAAAATTAACAATAAAAGGATTAAAATACCTGCTATATCATAAAAATGATAAAATGTCAGTGGTCATAATTTAAACAATTAGATGTTTGTTTTTTTAATGTAACAGAAATTTAATGTTCACTGTCCAAAAATATATAATAAAAATTAACGGAGTAATTTAAAGTAGTAGAGGAGACATTTAAACCAGTCGGACTACTTAACTTAGACATAGAAGTAGGCAGAAAATAGGTTCCCCTGTTCCAGGGATGATGAACCAACAGGATCTTTAATGTAGCTTATGAACGTTAATTATCTCCACAGGAAATCTCCTGCCTTTGATTAGCTAAATACGTGCTGAGTGAGATACAATTACAAGTGGTTTTCAGTGATAGCATTTTTACTCTTATGAAATAAAAAAGATTTAAAACATAAACATGTTACTCTACACACTCAAAAAAGACTGAAATGTGATTCCAGAAGGCAGGTTGTGTTTAACTTCAGTATTAATTCACTCATGCTTCACTGCACTGAGTCTATATGGCAGTAAAATGCACTTAACTCTGGCCTTTTATTTTAAATTTTTTAATGGAATTTAAATTTATTAAATTTATTTTTTTATATTTTTAAATGGAATTTTTAATGAATTTTAAATGAGATCTTAATTTACAACAATGTGTGCTTTGAAGTAAATTTTTACATTCAATTTTCATTAAAGTAAACACCATTTATTTTGGAAACACAGAACATAGGAGGAAACATTTGCAGTATTTTAAGTGATGCATATTGTACTGATTACAGAACAAAAAGGAAGGGTGACTTAAGATGGTTCCAGCGAGGTAAAAGACTTGTTAGCTTCCATGTCTTGTGTATATATACATGATTATCTTCACATATCCCTAAGTTATTTTACAAAATAAAAGAAAAAAAGTATATTGAAATATGCAAATATTTCAAGCTTATTTTCTAATTGGGGTGCTAAAACTGTTTTGATATATACATAATAAATATCTTCATGTTATGAATTAAGAAACAAAAATGCTTGTTCTGTAGCATGGTTAAGTCCACCAAAGAACACACATAGACACTCTTAAATCCAAAATAAATTTTTTATTGCCAGCCAGAGGCTGAAGGGAAATTTGTCCAAAGAATGTAGGCTGAATCTCACAGTTCTTTGCCTTTCATGCACAAAAACCACATCCTGGTTGATACATTTCAGCTCCCTGGAACAGTTAGCCAGAAGCAGAAGCTCAGAAGCCAAAAGGCAAGGTTAATTCCTTTAGTGACTTTCCTGGATCCCGGAACTGTGAGGACTACATCTTTCATGGTTGAGGTCTTTAATCCCATTTTGGCAGATGTTGGAGTCTATGCACTGGGTTTTAAGGTCAGAATTGTGCCTCTCACATAGCATCAGCTGTAATAAGCCCTGGGTGCCTGTTATAGTTCTTCATTGCACTGAGTTGCCCAAGTTTCAATTGTTCGTTTGTTTTTGTTTTTGCTTTTGTTTTCTTTTTCTGGAAATAGGTAGGCAGTCCAGGGTAGCCTGAAGCATGATCATCCTTCCCAGAAAAAAATATAATCAACTTAAAGTATAGAGAAATGGTCTGTAGCTAGAGTTTTCCTGCCTTGCCCACAGTCAGGACAAATCTTTGTCACCCGCCAGTCCCACAGCCGCTCAGACCCAACCAAGTAAACACAGAGACTTATATTGCTTACAAACTGTGTGGCCGTGGCAGGCTTCTTGCTAACTGTTCTTATAGCTTAAATTAATCCATTTCCATAAATCTATACCTTGCCATGTGGCTGGTGGCTTACTGGCATCTTCACATGCTGCTTGTCATGGCAGTGGCTGGCAGTGACTCCTTCTGCCTTCCTGTTCTTTCTTTTCTCCTCTGTTAGTCCCGCCTATACTTCCTGCCTAGCCAGTGGCCAATCAGTGTTTTATTTATTGATTAATGAGAACAAGGACCATCCTACAGCAATGGTCCTTTTAAATTTCATTCTAAACTGAGATAAAATTAAAATTAGAAATATAAGATGAAACAACATTAGAAAAAATTATTCTATAATCAATTATATTTTATTCTGTGGAACTACTTTTGCCAGTAAGGAATAAAGCATCAGTGATCATAGCACATTGTAAACACACAGAAAATAAAATTATAAAAATAAGTAATAATGTTTCATTGGTGATGTTTAGCAGTAAATCAAGTATACTGTTTGGAGTTTGTTCAAACATACTTTGGAGTTGGAGATGAGTAACCCTTCTCCATGAGGTCATGCAACATTCTCCTAACTCACAAGATGGAAGATAACAATAAAGTCCAACTCAATTATTATATATCAGAGACATCAAGCTCTAAAAGCTCTAACCATGTCAGTAAGTCTGATGAGAACTTAGCTGTTTCAGTTCTTTCTCATAGTATTGTTCAAATGAGCATTTATATCCTCCATTACTAAAATATACAGGTTTGTTTGAATTTTAAGGAGCATCAGATTTACATTCTGTTTGAAGAGTTTTAAATATGTTTTGTTTACTGATCATCTTCAACAATACATCACCTTCCTTACCTGAAGACAATGCATAGTGCTAACCTATGCCTTGTTTGTGAGTAAAGCCTCTGTATAGAAGGTAGTACTCACTGAGTATAACTATTTATTTATACAGGTGTGTTCAGTTAACTATAAATGCTAGAGTACTAAAAGTGAGATTAACTGATTAAATTTATCTTCAATTCTAATACACACACACAAGTTTCCACATGGGAATGAAAGCCTAGCTACATAAAATGTGAAGTCATTGGAAAGATCTGTTTTATCTTTAATCAGGAAATCTAGATGTTAAACAATGATAATAATAGCCCACATGGTATGGATACTTAATTACTTATCTACCAGGTTTTTTAAATATCATTTACTCCTCACCTTCAGTCAGTTCAACATGTGAAATTCTCTTCCTTTGCTAATTTCAACAGTGAACTTTCCCTTTATCTTTTTCTGATTTCATTCCTCTCCACTTGCCTTTTCTGCATACACCAACTCCATTTTTCAATTCATCCTGGTCCATTTTCAATTCATCCTATGGGATACTATTTACTTTTTTATGGTTTCAAATCTATATTTTATTCAACCCTGTTCTTTATCCATCTCCATTTTTTATATGTATCTCAGACAGGTAACTGTTGATATAGACAATGGTGTCCAAGCCCCAGGGGTAAAAGAAAGAAAAACTTATGAATTAAACTTGAATGAAAAGAGCTACCACACTGACACTTCTATGACTGAACAAACTGAATCATTTCATGGCTAGATTCAAGACTTTCATAATGGAATGTCATTTCAAGTCAAGACATCACAGTCCTATGACAGCACCAATGCTAGAGTCACCAAAATGACTAGGGATTTGTATCTTGGTGTATGTATCCATCTATAATACAAATATTGAATTTCTGAAATACTTACCCCTTTTCTCTGTCACTTTCCTGAATACCACATGTTCTGACAGAGCTTGAACATGCTCATTGATCCATCTAAATACCTTGTGTGCATAAAAGCACAATCAGGACAGACATGCCCAGGCTCTTCAGATGCAATGTTAAATCATTTATGTTCAAATAAGTACAGACATTAGGTGCTGTTCCACATTAATGTGATTCATAAATTTTTATCTTTGAGGTTGACTGGTTCGCTTTTAATTTGTATTATAATTTAACTAGATATTAGAAATCATTAACTACCTCAAAGTCTCTCAATGACACTGCATAACCATAATGGAATAAAATACAAAAAAATACATGAATACTACTGTGAATACTACTGTATTTAAAAATATTTATCATTTTTGCTTTATGTGTACTTTTCCGAAATGATAAGGATTTACTGTTTCAAAATCAGATTAACTTTTTCTTTGAGATTTTGTTTTTTCTACTTTTTGTCTATTAGTATACAATGGATAAATTCTACCAATTACTGAATATAACCTGTGGTATTCAGGCGGCACGATAAAAATAATATTATAAAACAGTATATTATATTTCAATTTACTAAACTACATCAAAAATTATACATTTATTTTTGTGTCTAGTCTTGTAATAAGGAGAAGTTTAAGTAAATAAGAACAAATCAAACCTGATAAACCCACCAACATATGCTCTGAGGCCTATTCTTGTTACTGTACATATTCTGTGTTAAACTTTCTCATCCATTTGAGAGAGTATCTGACAAAAATAAAAAAGTGAGGATAGACTTATTCTGCCTCATGGTGTCTGATATTCTAGCCCACAGTAGTGTGGAAGGTGTGGAACAGGAGGCAGTTTGTCCCACCATGCTAGTCAGAAAGCAGAACCAAAGGAATGCCAGTACTCAGCTGACTTTCTTCCCTTCCCTTTGTGTTCAGTCTGGCACCCCACAGCAGCAGCGGTGCCAACCACAGCTGAAGGACAGGTCTTTCCTCTTCAGTCGGCCTCTGGAAACGCCCTCACACAGACCTAGAGACATGTCTCCCAAGTGTTTCTAAATTGAGTCAAGTGGACAGTGAAAATTAAGCATTATATCTAGCGTGTTGCACTGTTCCATTTAATACCAAACACCATTTGATGTGCTTTGCTCTTGGCTGTTGTTCTTCTAGAACATCACCTTGCCAGGAAGTCCAGTTGGCTTGGTGCTTGCTTCACTGTCCTGGTTGGACTCAAACATGTAATAGTCTTCCTGCCTCATCCT